TTAATCAAAGTAGTGTAAGCGAGAAGGTGTAAGCACCAATTATAAATATATTTTTAATTTCCATGTCTTTTAAAACCGTTGTAAATCAATTTGTAATCACACTTTCATAAATTATTTTTACATAAAAACATATATATGTATATATATTTGTCTGAATGTTTTCTATATTTTGTAATTTTCTATTTTTATATATATATATTATATATTATAAATACATTTCTGTTTTATAGTGAAATTTTCTATGAGAATAACTTAACTTCACAATTTTAAACATATTTTGAATATAGTTACATACATATATCATACAGTTGCTCAATATTCATAGTAAATACTTACTGCAGAAGCTACTGTATATTATGCCTTTTGATATTTATTAATTCGCTGTCAAAAAATGATAATATTTACATTGAAAAATCAGGTTTGTTCCAACATCAGACAGTATATTATATTACAATATACGTTCTCTGACATCAGCGATTGATTTTATATATTATATGTCAGATCGCCTGGCAACAACTATTGTATCTGGAAATTAATATCATCAACATCTCCATTTGTGGCCGTTATGATCCAAGTTATTAATTTTTATTTCCAAGAAATACTCTCAATTAATATCTTTTTGTCGTGAACAGAAGTGCAGAAATTGTCTGGCAGTTTTATGCATTGCGTATTCGGAATATTCTAATTTGTGCTGGTGAATCAATTTGCAATTGTACGTTCATATTTATGGTCAATCGTTTCAACACTTCACCAAAACAACGATTGTTTTAATTTTCATTAATCTCATTGGCTTAACAAAAAATGACCGATCTGTCGGAAACTACCAGACAGTAGTAATTTCACCGTTTAAATCTTGCATTGTTCTGTGCAATGCTTCGAGAATATTTGTGAACTATTATGCACCAATCTCAAATTACGATTGAACTTTTTCTCAAAACTGCAGCTATTTCGCTATTTTTTATGCTACATATTGCGCTTTGAACATATGCTTATGATTTGAAATATATTTTTTTAATTTAAATTTATATGACATAATAGACAAAAGTATCCTATGCCCGTCCGCTAGATCTAAGCTACCTCCCCACCTATTTTCAGGCAAATCGCTTTACCCGTTCTTGAGTTATAAATATTGTAATTAGCACGACTTTCTCTTATATATGTATATAGATTTATGTTTATAATTATTATACTCTTAAAACATGTTACTACAGCTTATAATAGTTTTGTTCATCTAACGGCTGTTTGTATCACCTAACACTAATTGAGATTGATATAGGGTTATAGTATACTTGTATATATAAATTCTGAGGATGACGAGACGAGTTGACTACCGGATGACTGTTTGTCCATACGTACGTCTGTATGTGCAAGCTGTAACTTAAAAAAAATTAAGATAACTTGATGAAACTTTGTACACATGTTCCTGGGCAAAAAAGTAAGTTCATAGATGGACGCAATCAGACCACTGCCTCGCCCACAAAATGCCATTATTTGAAAATGTATAAAATGCTATAACTAAGCCGTAAATTAAGATATAGAACTCAAATTTGGCACAACAATTCTAATTAAAGAGGGGTACGTGTCATTTGAAAATATTGAAAAAGTATCTCCCAAATCAATAAAGCTATATCACTTAAATTTGCACAGGATAAATATTTTCAATCCTTCAATCCGGATGATGAAACTCAGGGAGCATATTTTGTATTGTCAAAAATAGATAAAATCGGGTCAATACTTTCCCTATCTCTCATTTACCTAACATAACATTTTCAAACTTCCGGATGGCCTTATGCCATATATATCAGACAATATGTAAGATATCTTAGCAAATTAACTGACTAATATGAGATATATTATAATTCAACGTATCATATTGGTATTTTACTATAATAATTTAATGCGGAAAATAGGTGAACTTTATCTACGAATAACCCCAACTCCCAGATACTATATACGGATATTAATTTTCGGTATTCTAACAAGCCTTATGGCAAACATGTCGTTCAGTGTGTGAGTTATGTATTTATAAAATTGCTTGAAAATATGATCTCATGTATACTTCAGCAATGCCAAAATTAATCGACCTGCCGTAATATAGACTGTATAATAATTTCCGACTTTGCACCTGACAAAATATGTGGTATTGTAATGCAATTTAGTAAACAAGTTTTCTTAAAATTGTGTGAGATTAGGAATGAAATTAGTCTTGACTTTGGTCCAAATCTTATATCCCTAAAATCATGAATCGCAATCATCTGGTTAACGTTTTCACATCAACTCATTATATTAAATTTAGATTCTTCAGTAAAAGCGTGATGCAAGGTGGTTTGCCTTTCAGAGGACACGACGAGAAATTTAGTTCATTTCACAATGGAAATTATTTGATGTCCTTAGAACATTACATGTTATGGGAATTCCGGCTCAGGACATACGAGTTATTTGTCTTCAACAACATGCGAAGAATTCATTCGGTTTTAAAAACCATTGTAATGGAAATATTAGAAGCGAATTTCTCTGATCATCGACTCGACGACGAATATATCTCACGTAGACCAGCTCACTTATGTAATCAGATATGTTTTACCAAAATGCTCACCTGTAGAACGTTTCCTCAAGCTCATTTTAAACACAGGCCATAAATCTCAACAAATGACAAATGTTGTTACCTCAACTTTAACTGAATTCGGAATCAACAGGGCAATCCTATGACAACGCAGCTAACATTTCAGGCATATATTATATAACGGCCTACAAGCTAAAATAAAGGAATTATCTTCCCTTGCCAAATTTATTCCCTTTTCAGCACACTCGCTTAATTTTGGCTTGTTCGTTCTTTTCTCTACTCCAAGAGTTCTATAATTTCTTTGCAGCGTCTACTCAGAGTTGGGAATTACTTTAAGCCCATTTCACTGTCAAAAGTCTATTAACGACTCGTTGGTCAGCTCGTGCAGACGCATGCAAAAGTTTACGTGAATCGTGGAATGATATTCATTAGTTAGTCTCTATCGAAAATGACACATACAGAAGAGAGCCATTATATTCGAAGCAAGAAGTTTGTTTGAAATTGGCCATCCTATTAACGTCACAAGTAAACAACTTCAGAGTGTGGAAATTGACTTTACCATTGTTACCGAGCTGTATAAGGTACTAATACATTTTATTGTCGAAACACGAGATAAATTTGATCATTTGGAAAAGGAAGCCAAAGAACTGTCCTTTGTACAGTAATGTGAACGAGATTATCGACGCATTCGAAAGCGTAAACTACTAGCTGGCGAAACTAACACAGGTGAAGAAATGCAACAAAAAAAACGGTCGCGAATAATAATTGATACTTTGTCAGAAGAACTCAAAAAACGACGGGATGCAAGTTACTTCACAATAAATTTAATTTTATTACTAACTAAGCGCAACTAAAGCCTAGGAAAAGGCCAAAAGATTGCAAATGGTTTATTATACTGATTTAGAAGACAATTTTTCAGAAGAATGTCTGCATTTTCGTACTCACTGCAGTGAAAAAAAATGCAGATCGAAACAATCCTACAAGTATTAGTTTGTTGAAATGGTTATGAACTGAAGGTATTCAAACCATTTACCTAAACGTTGATATTGCTCTTCGTATGTGTGTGTATACTCCCGCCAGTAACTGTTCTGGAGAACAATCGTGTTCTTGTTTATGACGAGTTAAAAATTATTTACGCATAATACGATAATGACAAAGCAAAAATTGAACGATCTTGCTTTGCTTAACATAGAAGCAGATTTTTTAAGGAAATTGGATTGCGAAGATAGTGTAAGATAGTGAAGCACTCATCATATATTGTATAAGATTTAACTTGTAGTTATACTACTTAAATAATTAAAACCAAAATCCATTTTAAATATTTAAATTAAATGTGCAATTATCCTTGAAACCTTAGAAAGTAATATAAACTAACAGCTATTATAGTTAAATAAATTTTGGAATCGACTTTGACAAAAGTTTGCAATAATAATAAAATAAAATAAATTAATTTTATAGTCTACAAGTCAATATGATCAGTATTGAGAAAGGGGCGGCTGGTACTTTCTACATGATCTGGGGCCTAGGGGGGCTAAGGCTGTTAATACGCCACTGCATACAATAGCATAAATATAGCCATTAAAATCGTGGTGAAATGTTTTATCTATATAATGTTTTAGACTATATAACGGGTGTTCCAAGTAAAGAGAAGTACTTTTTTTTAGCCTTTTTTGACAGATGACGCATGAGTCGTGTCAAGCTGTTATGTTATTTGTGTTTAGTATTGTTTGGAATTTCATCACGGAAAGATTTACGCTTAAACAACGTTTAACAATTGTTCAACTTTATTACGAAGCCTCACGTTCGGTAAAGAATGTGTTTCGCGCGCTTCGCAAAATCGGCCTACTGAGCATACTGCTCGCAACACCAACACCCATCTTGAGACCCAGCATTCATTATTGGATAATATTCGACCGAAGAGACCGTGTCCAGCACGCAGTGAAGAAAATATAGCGGCTATAGCTGAGAGTGTATGTAAAGTCTAAAGTCTATGCGGATAGTCCCGCTTCGATTTAGGCCTTGAAGTCATCGAAAATTGGACTCAATGGATGGACCATTTGAGACGTAGCCGCGGTCAACATTTAAAAGAGATAGTCCTCAAAAAATAAATGCCAAAGAATGTTCTTTTGAACAGTAATAAACATTTCCAATTAAATTTGAATTTTCTGTGTTACTTTCTTTAAAAAAGTAGGGAGCCTCGATATGAATCACCTGATAATCTGTGTGCACACATAATCTGTCATTTACACTTCCCTTTTCAATTGTCGTTTAAGTAAAATGTTTACATTTGGCAAATTTTTCCCATTTAATTGCAAGAAAAATGCAAACATTCACAAATTCCTCCTTACACATTTCAACTTGTCAAAAAATTCCATGAGCTTATATGATTTGAGCAAAATTTCTGAAGAAACTTGTTTTTTTTTCTCTCTATTTGCAGAACGAAAAACTTCGAAGAGCATAATCAAACATTGATGAAGGAAATTGAAAGCGCAAATATAGAATTGGCAACATTGCGCGAAGAATGCAATGAACATAAATTCGAGAAGAAAGCACTCAAAGAGGAAATGGGTACAGTCAATACGGTGCGTAGAAGAATTTCTCGTATATATGTGTGTGCGTGTTTAGCTGCTTGCGTATATAACTATGCGCGAATATGGTAAACGCTCGTAAGCGGATTTCAAGTCAATTGTAAACTTGGAAATTGTTTTCTTTGTGTCTTCACTCACACAATTACAATGTGCATCAGCATGTGGGTGTGTTTAAATACCATATATGTATGTATGGATGTACGCAAACAAATGGTATGTGAGTGTGCTCATGTTTTCATTCATCAAAAAGTTTTGGTAAACCGGAATGACAGGAAGCGTTGATATATTCCTGCATTTCCAGCAAAATATTTCCAAGTGTCGAAATTTCACTTGAAAGTCATTGAGTTGATTGAATTTGCTTAAAATCATATTTGGATAGAGGGTGCGTAAGTGTTTGTAACAATTAAAATTTATTAGGTGTTTATTTTTATTTCTTTGAATATTTGGTAAAAATTAAGAAAGTAAGTAATTCTAGAAAATAATCGTCAATACCAAAATTTAGCTCTCTTGCTGTTATGTTAAAAAAAAAAATAGTTTAGAACGGAATTTTTTTTTAAGATAAAAAAAATAGTTTAGAACGGAATTTTTTTTAACATATGTTACATCAATAAATTTGCCCCGAATTGCTTAAAAAATGCTTGCCCCTTCAGTGATGACTTTTGTTTGTGTTTCGCTAGCAAGCTATTACTTAGGTTTTGTGGAATATTTCCGATCGTGATATCACACTTAGAGAATTACAGTTACATCTTTCATGGTGCAGAAACTTCCGTTTTTGAAATATTAATCTGGAATTTTGCTCATGTCCTAGTCTCTCCAAGAAGCTGCTCGTCTGTATAACGGAACCACCGTTCTCCCATAAAATATCTTTTTTCTTTATAAGTACCTTAAATCCACTTGAAGGTTGATACATCAAATAAAGTGGCTAGAATGAACTTGTAAAACATTTTCCGTTCAATGCAAACTGTTGACCAGTTATGTTTTCAGATTTAGTTATACATATAGTTGCTATTAAATAAGGAACCTGGGTATTATAGCTTCATTTCAATTTTTTGTCAGTGGGTATTGATTTTCGATTAAAAATGGGCATTCAGAGTTAAAGATAGAAATTTAATGAGTGAAGTGAAAATCATATCGGCAGGTGGCATTTTTTGATCAGATTCAGAAGCCATCTTCTGAATGTAATCATTTACCAAGCAACGCTTTAGTCACCTTTCTCTGGGATAAATATCTCTCAAAGCTTAAAATAATTTTGGTTTAGATATTCTACATTAAACTTACATCGAAGTAAATGTAAGTCGGTTCCACTTTTAACATAGTAATTTAATTTTTTGAAAATTTTATTCCAAATACAAGTGATACAATGTAATTTCTTACTTTGTTTGGGTTAAAAACTGGTGTCTCCACTCATTTTCTAATATCACAAGGAATTTTATACTCATTTACCGCTTTTAAACTCATTTTAAGTTTCGTTTCAAATAAACGGTGCCAACCTGTATTTCGTAGCAATCTATTGGAAATGATGAAGAGAAAATATTTTTCCTTAATTACAAAAGGCCTGCACACATTCCCACAGCCAGCTTGATAACAGGAGCATCGTACACATTACTCGATTAAAATCGCACACATACGCTGGCGCTTGTCTTAAGCTGCTTGTATTTGCTGTTGCAACCAATTAATCACACTTTTCTACATTTGCAGCTCTTTAGCCAGATGGTAATGGGCTTCAATGGCAAGAATAACTTGGATATTGATCGATTGACGACGATGTTGGAGGAGAACCGCGGCTTGCTCAACGACATGGCAACCAAGGAAGCAAATTGCACCGATGGTGCAACGTTGCCGAAATTATTATTCGAATTAGTCGAAGAGGCGGGAATGACTGGCAAATCCGTTGAGGGCAGTCGTAGCCCAATGCCTACGTCAATTATTAACAGCAGCGCTGATGAGGAAGAAAACAAACTGCATAGAGATACACCCGACCGTGGTGCACGTCATAGTTTCGAAAGTGAAGAACTGCCGTCTGCTGTCACCGCGGAACTGGACGCTGCAGCGGCAGCCGATCACAACAATACCAACTGCAAGACTGAAAATGTTACTACTACTGTTGCCACAGCCACTGCCATTGCAGGCGCTAGCTGCGGTAGAAAACATCATCGTAAAATTGCCGGCAACCGGATGAAATTACCACCAGCCACTGCCTCAACAGACAGCACTGTAACGGCAACTGCTGCATTGAAAACCCATGAACCAGAAATTATGAGTAAAGTTGCAACGACACAAGAAATTATTGGTAACTTGCCGAAAGTTTGGAAAGTGCTAATGGAGCTCTTAAGTCACCACAAAATAGAGCGGGTGCAATTTGAGGAGCATGGCGCCAGCGAGGATTGCTACAAATCCGTTGAGACTGCCAATGGACTAAAGGCGGAACTGAGCGTCAGCAAGACATACATTAAGTTAAAGGTGAGTGTAATGCGCGTGTCACACTTTGGCTGTGTACGAAACGTCTTGTGTTAGACTGTGCGTTTATGAGTTTGGGCACGACGCGTCAATCAAGCTTGTTAGCAGCCACTTCCGCTTAGTAAATGTTGTGGCGCAACGGTGTAGAGTGGCCGTTGCACTTAACGACGTGTTGCGCTTAACTTTGAACATTTTTCACTTAAACTGTTTTATGGACCCCCTTCAAAGCTGCACTTTTCAGGTTGATTATTTTTGTCAGACTTGAGTAAATTCAAATGCTCTCTTTTCATTACTCGTAAAGACTTTCGTCTATTTCGCGCATGCTGCGACAGCACAGAAATGAATTAACGATAACATGCGGTTGAATACTAAAAAGGCACTTTATAAAATTTGATGAAATTGTTAAGTAGAACTTTCGTACTTTTAATAGATCACTTCAAATGTAGCAAAAAGCAGGTCATAAATTTAATGAAATGACATGTGAAAATAAACCGTGAGTTAATCAAACACGCAGAGAGGGAGTTTTTTTAACGTGAGCACGATAGTAAGAAATAATTGGGGTATTCACAAGGTGTCATATGTGTCCTATCGTCATATTGTCTTATATTTTATGACTGTCATATCAACACTGTTGCTGTTTTCCATACAAAATTGAAATACGACAAATACAACAGGGCTAGGTATGTTTTTTGAGAGTGCTTTTCTATCAGCTGTATCTGTTTACTTTTTTTATTGTTGACGTTTAAGTGTCTAAAATTAATAAATTAAATAAATTTCATCAATTTCAGTTATATTAAGTTGAAGAAAAGTAAATATAAAAATATTTTGTTGTTTCTGTGGTTGGAAATGATTTTATTGCAGTGTAAACAAAAACGCCGCGGTTTCAACATAAAGCAAGTTTTCACAAAAAGAAGCTTTGATATTATTTTTGTCACTTTCTCATGGCATTTTTGTATTCTTAATTTTTCACTACCAGCGGGTGAAGTGTAGAAATTTTACACAATATGACAAACAACGATAAAGGGGTGCTCACAAGCGTCATATTTTGAGACTATTGAAATACGACATAAGACATAATATAAAGCTTGTGAATTGCCCAAATATATCATACATATGTACTTAGAACACGGTTGGATTTAGATATTCAAAGTAAATTTATATTTCTTAGTAGCTACCTAAACAAAGTTTCAAGGTCGAAATAAAAGTCTGTTTGAGGAAAAAGAATTTAGCCTATTTGGATAATTTGGAATCGGGTTTCGGCAATAATGTCATGGAATTATCTGTTCGAGAATTATCGTCTTGTTAGCAGTTTCAAGCAATACCATTATAGTAAGGTGAGCGTGGTCAGTCCCCGATTTTCCACAGCAGTATGAGATGATCAAATGGAATATTTTTATTAAGTTAGGCTAAGATTGTTTTTGTAGTTTAGTATAAAAATAAAATATTTAAAGGAAGGATATAAGATTATATTAACCAAAATCGGAATATTTATCATATTAGTACTGGTACCGAATTTTCGTACTGATATGAGCCAACTATCTTATATTAGGTATACAGAATTTTGCACTAAACCAAAATTTCTTCGAAAAACAAAATTATTCTCTTTTCATTTATAATTATTTACTGATATATGTAGGGGCTAATAATAGTAAGGTTCCCGTTTCGGCCAATTGAGGTGCTACATACATACTACGTGTAGCTTCGATGTTAACATTTATTTTGATACCTTCGTTAGTTTTAGAGTTACCTACTGTTTAAATGAGCTAAGCCTCAGTAATTAAACACACCACCCTCCGGTAAAAACTGGCGCCCTCTAATGCAACATACCACACCTGAGAACACTCACAGGTTCTCACCATATACGAAGCATCACACCACACTCAACATTTGAGAACACTGTACATGATGACACACCAACTTAACAAAAAAGACGCCACATCATTATACTCTCGCAACCTGTTGCTACAGAGTATAATAGTTTTGTTCACCTAACGGTTGTTTGTATCACCTAAAACTAATCGAGTTAGATATTCGCTAAAACACAATTCGTTTCGCCAACGGGCTTGAGCGCCACATCATTTTCATTCGTATTATTGTACAATTCGACAGCTAATTCGATCGACATCGTTTCGCCGGCCCGACTCTCAACGATCCTGCGCAATTGTACTTCAAACTCTTTTATTTTATAATTAATTATTTATAATATAAAAAAATATTACCATTTATATTATTTATAATAACGGATGTCAATAATAAACTTTTAGATACGTATACGAAACACATCGCCTTTTATCTAAATAATTCACGCGATTTTAAGTGTTAATATCTCGGTGGTATAACCACTAAATTGGGCACCCAATTAATCACTTACTGTTAAGCAAAATAAGCTCCAGGGATTCAAAACGGTGTTTTACGGGAAGTAGGCGTGTCTGTAGTCTGATTACTCTGATAAGTTGAGTTGAAATATATAAAGAAATATATAGAGTTATTTACCTTGATATTTAAATGTCCAACCTTTTAATAACGATTTTTTTATACTTTTTGTTTGCCAACGATAGGATCTGATATTGGAGAAAAAATCCTTAGTCAAAGAAACAAATCGCCTGAAAACCTTAAACTGCCATCTTGAATATCGATTGAACGAGCAAGAGAAGCGTTTAAGTGCCGTTAGTTTGGAGTTGACAAAAACTTGGCATTTAGTTGGCAAAATGCAGCGTCAACATCGTCAGCTGCACACACAAGAACAAATATTGCGGTATCAATTACAGCAAAAGCGGCGCTTACTCACGGAACTGAAAGACGAGTTGGAGTACTGTCGGCGCAAATGGGCGGCCGCACGTGCCAAAAACGATGAGAGTCAAGAGCAGTGGAATGATTTACGACGCGAATTTGCATTGCGAAAACTAGAGCATGCCAGCAATTCAGCCGAAAGCGGCTACAGTGACTCAGGTCAGGCTTCGGATGAGGATATGGTAGTAGCAGCGCCTACAAATTTAACCTCTGACGTGGAGACGACAACTTCAAATAGTGCAGGTGGAGGTGGTGGCTGTGCTGGTGGGGTTGGAGGAGTGGCTGCAGCATGTAGGCGTAAACGTTTGAAAGAAATGTTCGAGCACTCGCGCAAGATAAAGCGCATGCAAAGCACTTCGCCCGGGCGTGCCGGTGATGGTACCGCTGAGATAGTATTACGCTGGAATAGTGCGCCACCAACATGTGGTTGGCGTGACAGCAGTGAGGCCAATCATGGCGTGGTCGACGTATACTGCGATGCAGATAACAACACTAGTGGAGGTGATGGTGAGTTTATCGGTGCAGTCGATTTGACAGGTGTAACCGCAACCAGTCGTGGCGCTATACCAAAGAATATCGTTGCACACAATAGACACCACAGCAGAAGGGATGCAATGGAAGGGGAGGCGGCAACTGATGTTGTTGATGTTGCGGATGGCGCACAAGGAGAACGCGCCGAACGTATACAAAGGCTGGAGGAGCAGTGTAAAACGTTGATTGAGCGAGTACTTAAGACATCTGATAATCGCGAGCGGTTAGAGGTGCAGCTGCTGAGTTTTCAGGATGAGATTGCACCGGTGCAATATGTGGTGCCACTGAATGATTTCTTTAAAAAGAAACGTATTGAACGCATGACTCGTGCCAGTTCTGTGCCTATTACTGGTACTCTTACACCGAGAGAAGAAGAATATACGCGTAAGCGCTCAGAACGATTAGGGCGTTTGGAGGAAGAGAGCCGCCAGCTGTTGTCACGTATCAAACGCACATCCGATCGTGGCCATTATCTGCGTTGTTCCTTGGATCGTTTGCGACGTGGACCCAGTCGGGAGGGAAGTTTCGAAAGTAATACGGAGGAAGAATCTAGCAAAACTGAAGAAAAATTATTGTTTCCTAAGCTCAAAATGTTACAAGAAGACAAACAAATCGACGATATGTTACCTCAGGTTCCAGACACGAATGAAATGGAAGCGCCCGAATCACGGATAAATCTGAACCCCTTGACAGAGAACGAAGAAGCTTACACGGCACGACGTTCGGTGCGTCTACAGCGTTTGGAGAATGAGAGCAAAGAACTATTAAAGATACTTTCGCGCAACAATGAACGTGGACAACAATTAGGCAATAAGTTGGACGCATTGCATGAACATCACTCCGATGTGCCTACGAAGGTGGTGGAAGTAGCAACAGTAAATACTTCATTACCACCTGCCACTCCGAAGGTTAGTATTGAACAACGTTTAGGAAATATCGAGCAAATATCGTCCAATCGTATGGAACGTCTTCGCATACTCGAGGAAGAGGGCAAAGAGTTGCTAAATCAATTAGCTGGCACATCGGCGCGTGGTACAGAGATGATTAATCGCATAACTGCGCGTGCGCAAAATCGCCAGACAACTGCAATGGAAACGGCTGATAACGAAATACCGGCTACCACCACAGATAAGGTGGCCGATCCCGAAGATGAGTCCGCGGCAGGCTTGGAGACAACAGCGGTAGCCTCAGTCTTGCCTACACTCAATAATGTCGCATGTTCTAGTATTGTGTCGGAGGAGTTGACGGATCACGTTACGGTTACTACAATACCTAGCCAAATTGCTGGGAAACAAGGCGCTATTCCGAAGCAACCGCGTACGAAACCTGCAGGCATGGTGTTGAATGCTGAAATACGCGCCAAGGCCGCGAACAACAAAGAGCAGAAACAAAAACAAAACAATCAGGCAGATGGTGAGAGTTTGGAGGATATGGTAAGGCGTCTGCAGAAAACCCCATATCCGGAAAACCAAAACGTCGATAAACTAGAAAAAAAAGAATACGATGTGAGCGACAAAGAAAAAATGGGAACTGAAAAAGTAAATCCAAACCAACGTGGTACCAAGGATTAAATGTTTAGAATTAAGTAAATAATCATAAATTTTGATCTTTATGAACTTTTACTCTATACAACTTGTACTTAATATTTGTAATGAAAGACCCCCTCTTCGTGTTCAAATAAATTTATATATTCATCTTAATTGAGCGATTAATTTGTATGCATCTAAATATATCAATGTATTTTTTGAGCGGTTAATTTAATACTCATCAATTTAGGTAGATGGTTAGGTGGAGTGCCTGTCTTTCGACACACCTAGGCCTTTAGAAGGTCCATTGTGATACCACCGGGACCAGAGTCCCCCACTCTATTGGCTCCTCTCTGAACCATCTTCATCAGTAACCACCTTATCCGTGTACGAGACGTCGTCAAGAAACTTTTGACCAATGGCTGCGATTCTTTTCCTATAGAAAGCCTTACAATAGCATAAAAGATGTTTAGTGTTCTCCTCCTCTTCTACCTCTTGACAGCTTCTACAATTGTCGTTATATGGCGTTCCAAGTCTACTGGCCTGTCTGCAGTCTGTACTGTGGCCTGTTAGTACACCTACTAGAGTTCTTATATCATTCCGATTGAATTTTAACAGTCGGCGTGTGCGGCTAATATTCCATTCATGCCTTCTTGTCGACTTCGCCTCTTTCCCACTCTTCTCTGGAAATATTGGGGTTGGGATTTAGATTCAGCTGTGTAGGATTTTGAAAATATGTGGTTATGGGAAGAAACTGGAACTTCTTAATTATCATAGAATGCCCCTTATTACTAGCGAATAGTAGGGAAGATTCCCTCAGTCTAAGAGGTGACCTCGCTGCCATTTGCTTACAGAAGAAGTCTGTTGACAGTTAATGTAAAATTACGTTTAGCGCCTGGCTTGGCGTTGTTCTGAGAGCTCCACTGATGTACATACTGGCTGCTCTTTGTATGCTTTCCGTACGTCTTTCAGGTTCAGTCCACAATATACGTCCCATCGATTAATATTGTTTGCATAATGCATGCTAGAGAAAGTATTTGGGAACTTGCCTCTAACCGAAACTGCCACATCGTCAGCGTAGGCCACAACATGTACCCCCTTCTTTTTCAGATCCACCAATATTTTGTTCATTGTTAAGATCCAGAGAAGTGGGGATAACAAATCTTTAAGCACGCTCAGTATGGCCTTCCGCTGGCTACGAGGGTGTATTCTTATATCTCCAGAGACTTTTCAGTCTATGCTATCACTGAGCTTAATGCCGTTTCTGTGGATTTTCCCTTAGAATATGCATACTGCAAAAGTGCAGTTTTCATGGGTTTAGTTTGCTATTTGTGTGTGTGTTTATTAGCTTCTCCAACGTTTTTAAGAGAATTGAAAAAAGACTTTAGTTTAATTGGAGCAATGCTCCTTAAAGCATGATTGTTAACCGGTATATTATTTGAAGCTGCCTATCGCCTAGTAAACATTACAATCTGACACTATGTCTGCAGGAGGGGGCTCTGCTTAGACTTCACTACCCAATGTATGTTCCATTATGTGGTTTTCAGAATTGTCTAGGAAGTGGAGGTAGTATCCATTAGCAGGCCTAGAGACTCTTCACTGGATACCATCCATCTGTGGTCTGGCTTCTGAAGGTATCCAATGTTATGTTTCGACTCTGTCATTACTTTTCTAAGTCGAGACGCTTTTGTCGTATTATCGATGTCCTTACAAAAATATTTCCATTAATTTCTTTTTGCCTTCTTTACCTTCTTTTTTATGACCTTAAGAGGTTATAATTGTTATCCCACTCTCCTTCTCTTTGGGATAATTTGGCTAAGTTGAATTGCTTCCTGCAACCTTTATGCAAGCTCTTAAGAAAGGGAGACCACCAGAGGGGTGTAATTCTTCCAACACTGCGTGTTATTGGACAAGCCACCGCTAGTGCTTGTCGACAAGAATCTGTGAACTGTTTAACGAGGATGTCTAGGTCCTCTTTGTTCTCTGGTTGAAATGGCAGAATCATGGGAATATGCTTTTTTAGCTCCTGCAGGTGCATCTGCCTGTTCGTTTTCCTTTGATTCCTGATTTTTTCTACCCTATTTGCATTCTCTTCTATTATGCACTCAATTAAGTGGTGATCTGGAAAGGAGAGTTCCTCAAGTACTCTCCAATGGGTCATTTTATTTATATTAATTATTTTTAGTCGATTTCTAGTTATAAATGTTGGCCTACTGCCTCTGTTGCATAACAACAGTTGTGTTCCTAGAAAATAATTAAAGAGCAACTCACTCTATTCGTTGATGTCAGTGCTGCCCCATAGTGTGTGGTGTGTATTGGAGTAGCACTCAAATAAAATCGAGCACTTGGATGCTTCGCTGTCTTGCATCAGCTCTTTAACCAGCTGTGATGATACTTCTTATTCGTCATTTGGGATGTATCATGATACCAACGGATATTTACTTGCTTCCATCTCCCAGCTTGGGTGATGTCTTCATTACTATAGCTGTGTAATAAGAAGACATTAAGCTTTTTACTAGCCTTACCAACGCAGCTTGCCATGAATATTTTAATTATGACCCGGTGTTCTGAGTCCGCAAATAGCCCCTGTGGTTATCTAGGGCTAGAGAAGCTAGTTTGCTCTGGTGGATATTAATTTGGAGAAGACACATTAATTACTGTTTTCTCTGCGTCTTCTTGAGAGTCGCTGAAAAGCTGACTATCATTGTATAGTTTAGAGAGTCAGTCTGCAAGCTCAGACCCCGAAGTACACTCACCTTGTTCAGTATTCTCCACGTCACTTGAGGACTCCATTGGATCTATCTCGACTTGACACTCCGTTTCTGATGCCAAGTTGTCTCCTGCATTGGCGTCTGACTTGTAGGCTATGTCCATCGCCTTTGTGAATTAGTAGTTTATTGATGAGATTCGGAATACAGGCTCTGATGAGCTGTATTATCTGGTCCGGCTGCGATGGTGTAGCAGGAATCCATATCTTTGTCCTCGGGTGGGATGGGATATCCTTTTTGTCCACCGCTACTAGCCTGGCTCCGGGGTAGACCTCCCCTTAGCTATTGCGGTCTTTTATAGCTAGACCGATCTCTCGTCGCCATCATCTTTATTTGGCCCTGGTACCATCCGGCATCCATACATGACGGGGACGCACCTGGATTGCTTAATAGCACCTCCAACACCGTATTCGTCAGTGCGGGTTGTACCCATTTCCATTGGGCTCCGGAGATTTTTCTTTCGGGATCTTCCTCATCCAGCACACCAATGATAATGCGGTTCCGGGCCACATCAGCGGGCTTCACACCTTTAGTCTTCGGTCTTTTGGCTGACCGCTCAGCCTCTTCAGCTGACCTTTGTCTCTTAGCTTCCACTGCTGGTGTTTCTAGCTTAAAGTTAGGCAAGACAGCTTTCGCGGAATCAATGGACTCGAGGAGCTCCTTCGCAAGCTCCTCATTGGTTGGCGGTCGCTTGCAGCTGCACCCTCTTTAGCAGATAAGCAACGCGTCACTTCTCTGCATACTTTGCCTTCGCTGGGTCTTCTATCTTTAAAACAGGCCATTCTCTGGCTGACGCACTACTAGCTGCACCTCTTTTGGCATCTCCCTTCTTTCCGGCTTAGTAGCCAAGCCTTGACTACAGGGTTTGGTATGGGCTACCACCTGTGTTGTTGCTTTCTTGAGCCAGCTTTAGCTTCTGCTCCTTTACTTGTGCTTGCCTTTGCTCCAGCACCAAGCTTAACTCCTGTCCTCGCCCCGGTTCGTTCAACCGCGTTTAGCGCAGCACAGCAAGAAATTCCTAATCACCACTAAAATTTTCGTTCTGCTATTCTATTAATATCTTGTTACTGTGTAATTCTCAATTACTTTAAACAAGTTGTAATATAACAGACTGCTTGAGTACTGAACAAAGCATACACCGTAGTGAGGCTTAGCCATTGCACTTCGACTGGGTTGACCTTTGCGAATATTCCTAATGCGAATAACTCGTGGGTGTAATTTTTGGTAATCGGGAATGGCGTTCGTGCCAATTCGACTTATAAATATAAAGGTTTTCCTTTTCATTGTATTCAGTAATGTTTACAATCTTATCATAGAAAGATATACGCAAGAACAACGTTTATAAATTGTTCAAATTTGTTATCAAACAATCGTTCTCCAATTGCAACTTTTCGTGCGCCAATATATAGTCGTCATGGTTATGGTGAGTGGTGCGGCCAATAACATAAATATCGATTCTGGTGCGAAGAAAATCTATAAATTATTCATAAAGAAACATTATATTCGGTACTTCTTTCGAAATAAAGCTTGTGACACCGTTACTGTCAATGGAGAGCGGTATAGATCGATGATAACCTACTTTTTGTGGCTGCAATTGCAAGAAGTTGATCTTGAAAATATTTCCAAACAGTTCCAACACGTTGGGGTTATGTTACGTGCCACACAGCACGTGCAACAACCGAATAATTGAGAAAAGTTTGGAGATTCGATAATTTCAAGAAATTATGAAATTGAATGGCCTCCAAGAAGTAGTGATTTAACACCATTAGGCTACATGGGGGATTATTTGAAGTTCTTGGTCTTTTACAATAAGCCAGCCTCTCTTCAAATTTTAAAAGTCAATATTGAACGTGCTGTAAAATTTTTGTGGTTTTGGAAGAAGTTGGCGGATATGTTAAACTAAAGAAATTAGAGCAGTAATATATAATATCAAAGTAAACAATATTTCAAACGAAACCTAAAAGTATTAAATAACAAACGCAAGATCCATATTCATACACCTTCAATTGAAACATATGGCATTGACATAAATTAAAATTGGTATTTAGTGGGATATTCTTTTTTGTAGGCAACAGCACGACTTTACTGCAGCAGGCTTGCAGTTGTCACAGTCGCTAAATTAAAATCATTTCTTATTTTGAATGCGACAATGGGCAGCTGTGCCGCTAATATGTGAAATGTAGACTTATTCACAGTCCTAGCAAATCTAATAACGCAATAATCAAGGTTGGGGAGGTATACCTAGAGCGAGGCTGGTAAAGGTGGACAGGAATGATATCCCATCCCGACCAAGGTAACGGGTATGGATCCCGGCTACACCATCGCAGCCGGATCATTTAATGCAGCTCATCAGAACGAAAGCTAGTATGTGCATCAGTGGAGCTCTCAGAACAACAACAGACTTGTTTTGTAAGCAACTAGTGAAGTCAGCTCTTATGCTAATGGATTCCTCCCTATTAGTCGCCAGTAACAAGGGTCATTTTATAATACTTAGTAGGTTCATGTTTCTACCCAATACCAAGGATTTTCGAAATCCTATGGAATTGAATTTAAATTATCCCAATTTTGTGGGAATATGAGGTGGATAAGGGTGCAAGGATAAGCATCTAAAGAAAGCCTTCTCATTCTGTCAAAGAGTGTGTTTAAACAAGAAAGTATGTATAATAATACATTTAGCCAGGCGGCTTTGAAATCGTCTTTGGGGTTTCGTCAAAGTTAGTGAAAAAACGCCTTGATATCTAAGTGGATCTAATATCCTATTTTTCGATTAACCTGCAGTGGGTTCCAGGACATAGTGATATCCCAGGTAACTGTCAAGCTGATAAACTAGCCAAAACAGTGTAGTGTTTACAATCAGACTGCGGAAAAGAGAGAACTTATATATCTCTGGCTACTTGCAGATATTTAATCGACAAACATGTTATAAATATAGCTGAACCTCGGTGGAATCAATACCTGAACAACAAATAGGCAAGCCTGGTTTGAATGGTATATGATCACATCCCGATTATTAAAATTGAAAAGGAATGATATAAGAACTCTAGTATGAGTGCCAAAGGTCACTGTCTAATTGGCAGACTTGCCATTACACTAGGAACGCCATATAATGACTATTGTAGAAAATGGAAGGTAGAAGAAGAGGATACTATAAAACATCTTCTATCCAATTGCAAAACTTTATATATAATAATAATAGTAACCCAACGATTACCCTCCTCCCGCCCAACCGACGCGGGGGGCGCAATCCGCATACATGCGGAATTAGCCAAGTCAGAAAAGGCAAGAGAGTTTTTTAAGTGTTGAGATCTAAAACTGCTCAGCTACAGAAACAAAAATTTTAACAGCTAAGACATTCAAAATTTTAACTAAGAATATTATGCCAAGCATTTCCCTACGACTAGAAAGTGCAGGTAGATTAATAAGTTTTAAACGACTAGTGTATGGAGGTAGACTTACCCTAGAATCCCATCGGAAATGCACTAAGGCGAAAAGTAAAAATTGTTTTTGAACAGACTTTAACTTGTCAGAATGGATTTGGTAGCTAGGGTTCTATACAACAGAGTCATATTCCAATATAAATCTAACCAAAGTTGTATAAAGTGTTTTAGTAATATACGGATCTCTAAGTTCTTTAGACTAACGTTTAACCAAACTGAGGACTGCTTTTGCTTTCCAGACCATGGTATCAATATGAAGACTAAAATTAAGCTTAGGGTCCATATTAACTCCCAAATCAACATGACTTGCTCTAGAATATGATGTTGTATTACATAAGAAGAGTGATGCACAGATCTACGGGAAAAGCACATCATTTTACATTTATTGAGATTCAATGGCAAATCATTTCTATCACACCATGCAACCATATTGTTTGAGTCTGTTTGCAACAGACACCTTTGCTCAGTTGAAGTGTATGATTTAAAAAGCTTTACGTCGTCAGCGTATAATAAAATTTTTGAAAATTCTATTACTGAAGAGATATCGTTAATAAACAACAAGAACAGAATCGGGCCAAGACGATCTTGCGGAACACCTGAAGAAACATTAATTGTATCTGAAGGTGTATCCTCAAATATCACTCGTTGTGTTCTATTATAAAGATAGGAAGATACCTATTGAAGGAATCTGGGCTGAAAGCCCAGCAGATCAAGTTTATGTATGAGAATCGAAAGATTTACTTCATCGAAAGCTTTGCTAAAGTCTGTGTATATAACATCCGTATGCTTATGTTCCCTAAAACACAATGATACATGGTTTACAAATTCGAGCAAGTTTGTTATAGTCGAATTCCTTTTACGAAATCCATACTGAGATGAGGAAATTAACGGAGAAATCGAAAAGGTTTTTTATCTCTATAGTTTAAACCTCTATAGTTTTCAATGTTGGATCTAAATCCACTTTTATGCAAGGGAATTATAAATGACTGTTTCCATATTGAAGGAAATATACCGTGTTTAAGAGAGGAATTAAATATCCTTGTCAAAGGTAAGTAAATATATTTGGCACTATTTTTTAGGAAGCATGAGGGAATCATGTCTGGGCCGTAACTAAAAGATGATTTTAACTTATTTAAATTAAGTAGGACGTCTTTTTCAGAAATAATTGGAGCGTTAATTAAAGTACTCGAACACAGCACGTGCTGATAAGAAAAAGTTTTGGAAGAATTATTACAGTAGTTTGACTTGAAAAATTCTGAAAACATATTGGATATAATATCATTGTCACTTGATATGATAGATTTGTATTTAATCGCGGACATAAATTTGGAATTCCTGCGTTTGGAGTTGACGAAATCATAAAACGATTTTGGATTACTTACAATATTCTTTTTTACTTTATTTAAGTAATTATTATAACATTTTTTGTTTAGGTCAAAATATTGTCGACGCAATAGAGAATATTTAGAGTAGTCAACAAGTGAACTGGTTTTTTTAAAATGGTTAAAGGCTCGAAGGTTTATTAATAATTACTATTGGAACATACTTTTCAAATAATTTCGTAATAATGTTATTAAAATGAGAGACACTCAATTAAATGTCACCATTATAAGTAGGCCATGTTATTGTAAAAAGTTCTGTATTTAACTTTTTAAAATTAGCTTTTGCAAAGTTAAACCGAGTACAGAAGCACGAAGTTTGATGATTATTATCCCAAAGCAGGATGATATGAGTTCTCTGGTAGAACAAGAGGATTACTCTGAATAACGGAACACTTTGAAGAGGTATCAACGTATACTAAATCTAAGCATTTACCAAATTTATTCGGAATCAAATTAATTTGGTTCAGACCCAACTCGGACATTTTTTCGAAAAACTCATAAAAACATGACCGATTGTAAATCGGCACGATATAGTCATCGAAAGGTTTCCACGAAGCTCACGGTAAATTGAAATCACCTAATACAATTATTGAATCTGCATTATTTGCCATCGAGGTAGCACTATTTATTAAAGAAGCATGCTGCAGGCATACAGATAAGTCCAAATGGGGTGGTATATAAGATAGGGTTAAATAAATAAAGCAACTATTAACGTAGTCCCTGAAACAAGAACATTTTCAGATGGGATAGAGGAATGCACGGCATATAGAACACCTCCTCCGATTCTGTTCAGTCGATCACATCTAAAAATTTGAACTTCGCTGTTTAAAATCTCATTATCAAAAATGTGAGGTTTTAACCAAGTTTCTGTAAATCCAATTATATGGAAATTAAAATTGGAACTGTTCAAATACAAGTCGGTTAATTTTGTATTAAGACCTCTAACATTTTGATAACAAATGCTTAGCGAATTTCTACCAATCAGTTTTTTTATATCGGTGGTTGCTTTTGGTAATTTAACAATGTTTTCCTCAGTTTGACTTCTAAGTTTAGGTTTAAATTCGCGTACAAAAGCCACAGGTGGTCAGAATGAACTATCTAAGATCTTTTTGAATGTTTCAAGAGATACGGCTATTTTAAACGATGATATACTTCTATCATAATTGAAGTTAAATTTGCGGATATTGATATCATCGATTTTTAAACGTGACGAAATGTAAGATTTAATGTCCTCCCCCAAGGTATCTTTGGCAAGTCTCGAAATAAATATAGACTTTTTAGGTAGAATAACTATCAAATTATTACATGATGCTACTAAGTTAATAGGGGGAGCCTCTGGAATTGTGGGACACTTATTATTATTAGATAGAGCTTTTGGGGAATTGAGCTCTTTGGAAGTTGACGGCTTATCACCTTGAGGGCAAGGAGAAGAGATAT